CTTAGGCCGATGGCCTCCCGCCAGTTTCGCCAGTAAAAGAATGGTGAAAAGAGATGATCTTGGAGGCCAAGACGCCTTTCCTGATTCTTTCTTTAAAGCGAAAGAATTATTTGCCTCATAAAACACGAAATAAAAAAGGATTACAGGGTGACGTTACTTGATAGTGCGAATTAATGACTTCGTAACCTTAATATGGTGTGATCACCAGGTGAGGCGCACCAGGTGACGTGCACCGGGTTAGGTGCACATACCTTGCAATCATCACCTCCCCTGCACGATCATTACTGCCAAGGACCCCTCAAAATTTCGCCAGGCTATTTCGGACATCATCACTCGCTGGCTTAGTTGGCCAAATTTTCTTTGTGTTAACACACCATTTTTACTGCCTTAGGTTGTTTCACTTTCCTGTATATTATTAACCACTTTTTTATGCAATTCATTGTCTTGAAGGTAAACAAATTGATGAAACTAAATGCATTTGAGCCCAAAGGCTCAGCCAACGCTGGCGGTGCAGTGCATGTGGCAGTGCAGTAATGTGGGAGGTACAGTGCACCGACTGAGAACACGAAGACGACGGCTTTCATCTTCGTGTTGTTCCAGGCGACTGCATGAAAAAAGCTGCCTGTTGTTTTAGTGATTTTGTTTTTGTGAGCGTGCTGCTAACCCCATTGTCATGGCGAGAAAACGTTTCCATTGGCTCAGTTCTGTACGACTTTCATGAATGCAAATCGTTTTGAAACACATATGAAAATGATAAAATGATTTGTTACAAACTGAGTCTTGCAAGTGTTAAACGAAATGCACCGAATTACTCGTCTTACATCACACAATAAAACTATTTATTCAGACCACTTACCTTGAATTTTACCGGTGCGACTCTTCCTCGAGGTATTGTAGGTTCTGGTTGCAGGTATTGTAGGTTCTGGTTGTAGGTTCTGGTTGTAAATTCTGGTTGCAGCTGGAGAAGAGGCGGAAGCTCTTGAGGAGGAGGTGGTGGAGAAAGTGGAGAAGGAGGGTAGTAGCCGTAGGGCACGTTGTTTTCCCGGTCGTCTGGAGCGACGGACGGGGGCAAAAAGTACCTCACAAAGGCAGTCTCACCAGCGAGATGAGAATAGTCGGAGAAAATAAGACCACGCGATGCGACGCTTATGTATTTATCCTAATCATTATTATATGCCCAACTACATTAGAGTTTATATTCGCGTGTATTCAGCGTATTCCGAAGCAGTTTTGCTCATTCACAATTTTAGTATTTATTTGGAACGTAAAACTCCAGGCATACTTATCTATATTTGTTTATGAGAGGCGCGAAGAATGTCGGGTGTGGACGCCTTGACATAGCCCTCCCCCCACCACACGCCAACTACTCGAGAGAAGTTCTTAACAAATATATTTTATAAAATCATACCTCCCAATAAAAATTGTCTAACTGGTTTGCGAGCGCTCATAACGCGTATTCAAAGGTACTCTTTGAAACAGGGCCAAGAAAAAAGCAGCGATTACTTGAGATATTGTGTTCAAGAGAATTGACACCTTGATAGAGAACTTTCATTTCAGGCCAGCGTACTCGTCAGTCGACTCGCTGGGAGTCAGATCGGTCTGTAATTCTGAGTCTCAGCGAGCCCGGGTGAGTAATATTTCGATGAGTTTCAGTCCGAGTTAGTCTGGCTCAAGATAAGTTTGGCGAGTACGAGTGCTAGTGAGCTGGAAGCTCCAAACTTATTACATGAAAGAGTCTAAGTGAGCTCCACAGGTTTTTCTGACCTATGCACGAAGTTAATGTCACTTCGTTTTGAGTACTTCGAAAGATAGAACTACATCATCCCAAAATTGCTCCCAGCTAAGCAAAATACATAAAGTATACTTTGATAGCGGCGAGCACAGGATGGTAGTTCAGCAGTGGAACTGTGTAAAACGTGGTCATTATGGATTCCCCGAACAGCAACCCTCACAACAGAAATCCCCAAACGGCATGTGCCACAGAACTTGTGGTAACAATCTAACCACCACTCTTCCGCTTAAAATGAAGTTGTCTTAGGCAACCGCATGTTTCACATATAGCAGGAGGCATCGTTTGTAGTCGAAGAAAAGCAAGGCGAAATAGCTTTATTTGACCAGACACACCGAGCTGCTCATGCCAGCGAAGCCCTGGATTGAAGACCCGATCATACCTGCCCGAATTTTGGCGTATGAAAGCCTACGCTAAATACAGCATTCAGCGTATGCCTTCATCAAAATTTCCTGACTGTCTGAGCCAATGATCACCGAAATTGTGTGTCAGCTGTTTGTCGTGTATTGAAGAACTTCCCTCATAATTCGCTTTGACCGAGTGAAATGGCTTTTCATTTTCTTCTTTTTAGGATACTGAGTGAAATTTAGTTTCTTTTTCTGAAGTATCTCTTGCATTGGCAAACTGGCTTCGGTTAGCCATATCCAACAGCAGGCTTCGCTGAAATGTTCTCTAATCAGTGTGGGCTGAAAGGTTTTTTGTAACTGTGGACGCTGATTCACTGGTAACTCACACTGGATATTCATTTATGAGTGAACGCGTACACTTGTGCCTAATAATTGGTGTTCGCAAAAGTAAATTCAACCCTACTGTCATTGGGAGCACGATCTTGTTATAATCAATGACGCACCAGACTGTGAGGGTCTGTTTACCGTATATTGGCCAGGGTAGCCTCCTCCACCACATATCCTGGATACATTGATGCTGTATTGATGAGTGTTTCCCGCGTTAACGAATCTTGTATTGAATCTTCATTCTCTTTCGTATTTGGCTGCATCGGTAATGTTAACGACAGCCGTGTGTATGCTGATACGCTGTACGGTGGCCAGAGATCCAATGATTCAAATATCGGGCCAAGCAGCAGGTATGATTAGCATATCTCTATCGTAGTTTCCTCCTCACGTCGACAATATTTTTTTTTCTTAGAATGCGATTTGCAACGGCTGGGTTCATTCCTTATCACAATGACTACCGCACCACGCTAGGGCCAACGGGCTGCCTCATTCGCAAGACTACCTCATTAGAAACATTTTACTACAGTAAACAGAATTAGGCCTCACTCTCGGCCTACCAGCAAGAAATTTTCGCCACCCGAGCCTAAAATATAAAAAGCCCAATCCATTAATCTCAGACTTTCGCAGACACGCAGTTATATTGTGCCGAGAGCCTTCGATTGCACAAATCGGCAATTTACGACCAGTCACGTTGCGAATAGCTTGATTTTGTAAACGGTACTAAAGGAGGGTGTGTACGAGCAATAATTGATTACTGATCGATACAATCGTTCAGCGTACAGAGGTCAACATGACTATACTGTCGGATGTAAAGTGTGGATTCCACTCACACTCTAATGGTAAAAGTATACGGACAAGCTACAAACTTTTAATACACCTCTTTAGCCTGTCTTTATGCCTTTCACGTTACCGCTTTACCGTAACACTGGATGAGTACTGTTTTAATAATAATATTTGTTGGAGTTTTATGGGAGACAAGTAACATGGCGCTATGAGGCACTCTGTAGTGGTGAACTACGTATTAGTTTCGGCAGACTTGAGTTCGCTGTCGCGCCACTGTATGGACACACATATTGGCAAGAAAACTAATCACAGGAAAGTAGTATCACTTTATAAAGAGGAGAAAAAAAAACCTGAACTATGAATGCATGCCACTTTGAAATTGGCTTTCAGGTAATTGTGAAAACACATTATCGTGAATTATTTGCACAACTCAGTGGCTGAAGGGCAAGGAGCACAAGGTGAAGTAATCATAATATATGATAAAGATACGCGTTATCAAAAGGAATTTCTTTCCCGTTTTATCACTGACATTATTTTTAAGAAGCCAACATCCCTGTAGAAATATTTGCGTATGCTCCCGTGACGAAAACACCTTACCTGGCAAAGGCTTATTCAGTGGGTGTGGCCCCGCAGGAAAGTACAGGAAAGAAAATGGAGTGAAGTTACGACATAATAGCAATCAACTATGGTCACGAACAGAGTTTTCTACTAGTCAACATTTCTTTAAATTTTTGAAAATTTCATGCGCAGTGGAATCGCCTTAGATATACACGCAGGTAAAACATCACTGAGGCCTCCTAAATAAAAAAGCTTTATTATATTGCACACCAACGCACCGCGCTCAAAGATAAGCAAATAAAAAAACAGAAACACCAGCAGAAAGTATAGTGTGAACGGAGTTCATTTGCTTCCTCTAATAACTGACAGTGCCCCAAGCCGACACAAAGAGAACAAAAGTACCTGCAGGACGAGTTCTCACCACTAAAACTTATGCCAAAGAACACACCATGTACTGAAAGCTTAAATGCAGTGTAAACCGGCCCCTACTCAGAGCGAAAAGTTGTGGCTTTCGCGACAGCTTTGTGTCCGCTACTAAGCATGAAATTCGAGTTCCCGCCGATGCATGCTTCTAAGAGTTTACCGACGTGGGCAGCTTCGAAAGCTCTCTGTTGTATGCACTCCAAAATGATACCACGATATGTGGACGTTAGCACATCGGGGCACACAGAAGTGGTGTGGCTGTTTCATGCTGTAACTTGGCTGTCCAGATAAACTTAATATTTTTTAAGCGCACATTTCTTCGCAGGACCCCGTCCGTATGCACCATCAGGATTGTTCTATGGTGGTTTGTTTGCTCGCGCTCTTCATTACCCCAAAAGATGTTTTGAGTGACCTTAACTGGCCTCCCACATTATCAAGGGTCTTTTCTTCAAAGATGCATTTTTAAAGACGAAGGTATTTTTGGTGACCTTCAACGCATAAATTTTGGTCTGTCTGTCTGTCGCTAGACTTGTCTGTTTGTCTGCCCATAACGGTACCCGAAATGGCACCAAAGTGGCCAAACGAAACTCCAAAATGCCTGACGATAGTTATAGCGCGAGAACAAAGCGACGACACAGAGAGAAGAAGGACATGAAAGATTCTGTCTCTGTGTCGCCGTTTTGTTCTCGTGCTATAACTATCGTCATGCCAAACCAATCAGCCCAACTGCCACACTTCCAAAATGCCAGTCCCATCCGCAGCACCCACCAATATTGCTCAAAGCTCAGCGTTCACAATTGTGTGATTGTCAATTAAAAAGCAATTATTTCGCATATCTGAGACACCATAACAGCACGTCAATATTATGCATGTGTATTGTTTACTAGAAAAGGCATACATAGGTAATGTTAAGGATCGTAGCCTTTAAAACGCTGCGCTGGCCATGCAACGCTTGCAGGAAACGGTGCTTCAAACGCCTAGCTATTACGACACGGTGGTGGCATCTACTGGTTGCCTTGCGTTCTACACCTTAACACCTCAGAGACGGGCGTGCACGCCGCGCGCTCCATTTTGCAGGATAACAGCCAGATAGCGCTCATGTCTCTCGTTAACGTGAGTTGATGCAGTCGTTCGCCTCGAAGGCATGCTCGAGGCACTCGATAACACGTCGTCTCCAGAATACCATTCACCAATTTTTACGCGCAGATCATCAACTGAATGTTTTGTTCACTCTCTCCAGACGCAAGGTTATCGTCTTACGACGACATTTGCAGTGTAACAGGCAGATACGGGGCCAATTTTCGTTTTTATATATGTATGACAGTAATACTTCTATTGTTTCCCCACAAAACGTGCAGTTCACGTGCAAAAACGCTAGGAGCCATACTGTCATACACATACTGCAATACCCTGTGAGCATCAACATGTTCTTATATATTTCTCTGTTCATACCAATACCTAATTATAGATTGCTAGTTTGAGGTCCTGCAACAGCAACAAAAAACATTGACACGCTCGCAGTTTTACAAAAATGCGTGATTCGATTAGCGTGCAAGGGTTCATATCTGTCACACACCAGTGACCTCTCTATATGACACAGCATTATCCTGATGAAGTCAATCTTTAACTAAAATTCATGTCGGCAGTATAAAGCTAGCTAAATGAAAAAAAATTAGTACTCTACAAATGCTAGCAAGACTACAGACTACCTTACTAAAGTATATTATACGCAAACCTGAAGAATGGCAAATCCAAAATTGACG